AAGCTCGTGCGTGGCTGAGATGGGAAATCACAAGACGAATTCATCATCTGTCCAAATGGCACCCAGCTGGTAAGAGGAGTCACACTCTTAGGGGCTGCTGAGGAGAAAGCAAGGCGGGACGTCCCCAGGACATGGTTCAGGGGGGCAGGGGAGGGGGAGTCAGACACAGGCTAGTCACACAAGTCGCTTAACTGTCCGTGGGCCCTGTGTCCCCGACTTCAAGGTTCAGCTGCTTCATCCTTCACGGCACCAAACCTTGATGTTAGGGATGCAAAGACACTTATAAGAATTGTGGGTTTGTCTTAACTCACACTTTGGGGGGGGGGGGGGGGCGGAGGACTGGCTGAAATAACAAAACAAAAGAGGGAGACCTTACCCATAAGTGAAAGGGACTCTAGTGTGAACTGTCAATCGAATCAACATGTGAAATATGGGGAAGGGATTAGAGAACCCATCAGGGAGAGCAGGCCAAACGTGTATAGCAGGACTGAACTAAATGGTAAAGAGAACCAAATGGCTTTGACCTCGGTAAAGAACAGAATGTGAGCGCACAGCCTGTCCCTGTGTAGAGGGGTTTCTGTGCTGTTTGCCATGACTGGTTCCGTGGTGAGTTGCTGAGAATGGGCACTGTGGTGGGGCTCAGCGTGTGCCCTGCAGAGTCAAGGAAACCGCCTGCATGGAAGCACACACGTGGGAAACCCTGCGGTGATCTGGAGGTCACCCGGGGGCCATCGCGCAGCACAGGACGCCAGTGTCCTCGTGGGGCCTCACCACGCTCAGTGGAGCGTTTCTCGGTTCCTACGCTGGGTTACTGTCATGTGGACGAGCTGGAGGGAAAGCCAAGTTCTTGCCTATGATTCAGTTTTGCCATTTTCAGAAGACACCACCAGCCTTTGGAGAGGAGGGTGGTTACAGGACAAGTACTTCTATTTTCCAACCTTTTTAAAAATAGAAGACGGAGCGGGGAGGCCAACGAAGTCTGCTTTTCCTTGGACAGAGACCCTTCCTCCCACTTCGATCCCCCTCTGACGGTTGCAACATAGCTCAGCCCAAGGAAAGGGGCGAAGACAAATGCGGGAAGCAATGCCAGAACCGGCTGTCGCCAGGGAAAACACTCCGATTCAGATCATTTGTTCTGTTCATGGCCAATGCTGCGATTCTCAATTAACTAATTTTACCGAGTTGTAACCAAAATTAGCTACATCGGCCCCAGAGTTAGTGCACGAGGAAGCGTCGGGAGCTTCAAGTAAGAGAACAGGCCCCCTCGCCAGGTAGCGATGTGTGTTTAAGACCAGCCGTGGAGCAAGGACACGGCTGGCTGGGGTTGTCAGACAGGGTCCAGCCCCTCCGCAGAGGCTGTGTGGGGCGAGAGGGGCGATCCGCATACTCTGGCAACGGAAAGTGTCCCACACATCGGGCTTGTGAAACTCAAGTTACTAATGACAGAAGTATCCGTGCTGGTGAGTCTCTCTGGGACCGAGACACTCCCCGAGTTCAGGTGGAATTAATTAAAACAGGCGTGTAGTTTGCAGCATTTCCAGCTCCCTCCCCGAAAGGCTCCACGCACATGAACCAGAACAGCCTGAGCAGCTGAGACGAGCTGGGCCAAAAGTGACTCCACCAGCCTCTGTCCTCCCTCCGTCTTTATTTACATGGCAATAGAAAGAAGAATCATGTTTTGTTTTTGTTTTTTCCCTTTCTCTTCTTTTTTTTGTTAAAACAGAAGGTTCCTGGTTTCTGTATAATTCGTGTGCTTTCATTACCTTTAAATTGGGTTAAAATAAAAGTGTATAGGCTCTTAAAAGTCAAGATTGTAACTTGCTAATGAAGTTGGGAATTATCCAGAAGAAAACTGCACAAGCACATGCCCAATGGTTCAGGTATGGCCTTGGTGAACTTGAGCCCTAACCCCCTCTTGCCCCCACTCCCCAGGAGCAGGCAGGACACTGCCCATGCTGTCCTGTCACTTTCTGATTTCTGGTTTCAGACAAAAGAGGAGAAAGGGTCCTTAAAGAAAGCAAAGAACTGGGGCGTACGGGGTGGGTGGGGGGGACGGTGCACGGAATCAAACTTCCTTCTTATAAAGCTAAGGGTTGTCTTCCTGGAGATGATGGATAATGACATTTCAGCTTTTCAAAGTTTTTCATAGAAAAAATGTAGGCAAATCAGGGAGGGCAAAGAGAATATAAATAAATAGAACAAGGTGAAAATTCAACAAAAGCTTCCTTCAACGCCTTCCTTCATTCCTTCCTTCCTTCCTTCATTCCTTTCTTCCTTCCTTTCTTCCTTCCTTCCTGTCTCTCTTTCTTTCTTTCTTTCTTTCTTTCTTTCTTTCTTTCTTTCTTTCTTTCTTTCTTTCTTTCTTTCTTTCTTTCTTTCCTTCTTTCATCTTTGTCTGTCTTTCTTTTCTCTCTCTCTCTCTTTTTTTTTGAAGTCTTAAACCCCATTTCTGGCTTGCATTTGGTAGGATTCCTGCTCTGGCTTTTATTAAAAACAGACTTTATGTGGTCAGAATTCTCCATGTTAAGCTAAACTTGTCTAGGCATACGGATCCTGACAGAGTCGTTCTCGCTCTCTCTCAGGTACCCCGGCCAGGGATTTCCGTCCCAATGCCCCAAACTTGAGGGCTCAGCACAAAACACCTTCCCCCGTTTCCTCTTAGTACACTGTGAACTCTTTCTGCAAGGCCAGATCGAGCTAAGTCTGTCTCTAACTTAAGAATACTCTAGAAATTTCGAATAACACAACTGCTGTCCTATAAATTCTCAAACGCAGACGCATGAAAGCTGGTGTCCCCTTCCTCCGGCTGGGAGAGAACGGCACAGGCACATGCAGGTTCCTGCCGCCGCCTGTGAGCGAGCTCGGGAACACCCGGGCGACCCCACCCCATCAAACACACCCCTTTCACGTGGCACAGCATGTCTGAGTGGCACTGGCATGCTAGCTTCTCTGCAGCAGGGGCCAAGGCAACCAAACGTGCAGGCAAAGTCATGCATTTTCGTTGGGGGACAGGCAGCGCCAGGTGGCTCTGGTTCCCTCTTGTAGCTCAACAGATAAGATGGTCTTCCCACTCCGGCCCCCAGTCCCCCGTGCTCTCCATACCTTCCCGGCACAGCGACAGGCACTGTTCCAGTCAGTCTGATGTTCCCTACACCATGAGTTTAGTCCGGCCTGCAGGAGGCTCGGTGCTGAGGTGGATGATTTCTGACATGCACTGGACAAGCTTGTGGATCCTGTGGGGCAGAGCTTGAAGAGGGCTCTCTGGTCCTCACCCCTGGCACTGGGGAAGCCCAGAGTCATTTTTAGTGGTCACACTGGGAGAGGGCAACTGACATCTGGTGGGAAGAGGCCAGGATGCTGCTAAACCTGTCAGCAGAGTGGAGGCTGAGAATCCCTTGCTGCTGCGGTTGGGGGCCGCGGCTCTGCAGGCAGGCTGCTGGGGATCAGAGCCCAGCTCCTCCGGGGTCTGGGGGAGCAGTCTGGGGCGAGTTGCTTAACCTCAGTGCCACGACTGCAAAATGGATAATAATCCATCTCGTTGGGCTTGTTGTGCTAAACCCAAATGTAATTGCAATGCATTGAGGGCAGAGCCTAGATCTATTGAGAACACACTGAACATCAGCTATTGTTATTCATGTGATTACTAGAAATTTAGTTCAGTTCCAATAAATAAGCCAACTCTATTGAGTGCAGAAAAAAATAGGGTTGAGAGTGTTATATCCCCTTTGACTGGGATCAGAATGATGGTAATGGCAACGCAGAGCAGTTTCTCAGGCTTTCAAACACCTCGTCTCACATGAGATGGGCAACAGCCTGCTGAATGTATCCCTGTGTCCTAGGTGAGCATGTGCTGCTCAGAGTTCAGTGAGTTGCCCACAGTCTGTGGCAGAGCAAGTGTGACTCCACATCCCTACGATTCCTGCTCCAGCAGCCTTTGTCTTCATGGCACCGGGCACACTGAAGATCCTAATACATGTAATCATGGTCATCGGAGCGGGAGGGGACTCAGCTTTCCTGGGTGGGTGGAAATCACTTCTGTTCAATGTCTAGTCAAGTTTTCCTTCATGGAACATAGAAATATTTCTCCTTTATGGAATATACAAATATTTTAATCCTCTGAATTGAATTTTTAAAAATCAACTTTCTATATGAGCTAATTTTCTTTCTTTTCAAAATGTGTTATTATTCTTGAAAATCTAATTTCTTCTATTTTATAAATCTCTAATTATATATATATTGTACATATATTGATTGTAAATGTAAGAAGGTGAGACGCTAGCTTTAACTATATACATGTTTCAAGTTCCATTTATTTGCCAGTTATTTTGTTTTACAGTTGAGGCAAAAAATCTGCTTACAAATGCCAAAATGTCTAATTTAAATGTACAGCGTTCTGTCTCTTATATGATGGTGGTGGTGGTGGTGGAGGGGAATGAGTTCACATAGCAAGCATCATGCCTATGTAAAATTTCTACACTAGTTTACAATAATTACAGACTAATTAGTGGATTTTTATGCTGCCTACATTAATGTTAATAATATTGGGCTTAAGGGTCTTAGTTCAGAGGGCAGAAGGATAATAACCCTTGAAGTCAGTGGTTTCTGAGAATTCCTTTGGTCACAGAGGTGAGCACTTAGCTGGTGATAGGTTCACGACCTTGGAGCACACAGCTTGCCTCAGCCCAGCCATGGGTCTTTCATTTCAAAGCTTTCCATTGCATTCTACAAACAGCTGCCAACACGTCAATCTTTTGGACCCAGTTTTCTTGGGGCCCCTTCAGCTTGTGCCAGCTGATCGAGGAGAGGTTTAGACCACATCTTGGTTTTTAAATGGTGTAAAAACTCCGCAATTTCCCAGGATTTCCCCTTCCAGGTGAAAAACGCAAACGTGTATGATACCATGTTTGCAATTTTCATTTTCAAGGAACTTTGGTCTGTTGTGCTACGAAAAGAGAACCAAAGAGCACCCGCACACCCTGTCTTCCGCGCAGCACACTTACCTGGGGACACTGGGAGGGGCCCTGGTGGGCCGGGAGGGGACCTGTGGAGGGGCTCCGTATGTGTCGTTGCTGCTGGGGAAGGGCGGCAACGGGCCCGGCCGGAATGGAACTGGGGGAGCCCCCGAGTGGGGTCCCGGGGACGGGATGGCAGGAGGCGGCCCTCGGCCAGAGCCAGGCCGGGCCAGGGGGGTGCTCAGTGTTGGCCTCCTTTGGGTGGTGGGGCTCGGAGGGGGTGACCTGGGAAAGAGACCGTCAGTTTACCACTCCTGCTTTCTCTCTGAATGCATCTTAAAAACACATTGTATAACTTGCTGATGGCTTTTTAAAAATTATGTTTTGACTGAGAAACTCAGGTAAATGTTAGAAATGTTTAAAGGTATAATAAGAAGGCGAAGAGTAGGGGAAGTTTCCCTCCCCTACCCCTTCACTCCACAGAGCCAGCCAATAGTAGTTTCTCTTTACCTATATTCTACAGAAGTTTCTCTCTCTATATAGAAATTAATTTTACTACATGCCGATACTGGTTTGGCTCAGTGGTAGAGCATCGGTCTGCGGACTGAAAGGTCCCGGGTTCGATTCCGGTCAGGGGCATGTACGTTGGTTGCGGGCACATCCCCGGTAGGGGGTGTGCAAGAGGCAGCTGGTCGATGTTTCTCTCTCATCGACGTTTCTAGCTCTCTAACTCTCTCCCTTCCTCTCTGTAAAAAATCAATAAAATATATTAAAAAATTTTTTTTTACTTAAGCTTTACTGGAACTTGACTACCTTTTCATGTCAGTACTTACAGACTGGTCTTACTCTCTTTACTGGCTGTGCAACATTCCACTGTACTGATGCACTGTGCTTGTTTCTGACGGGAGCTGAGATGACCTGACCCTGCCTCTCACTGCTGAAGTTAAATATTTGTTCCTCTTTTTTTCTAAAGGGTTTTAGGGGAGTACTCCCCGTAAATGGCGCTGCCGCAGCCTGGCTGGCCTCGGGGTGCGTGAGCCCCCTTCCTACCTGCGAGTGTGCTGTATCCAGGAGTCGTCCACGGGCGGCGGGGCAGGGATGAACGTGGTGGCCGTGTTGATGTCGCCGATGATCATGAGGGCTTCTTTAAGGGCCTGGTACATGTGAAGCATTTCATCCCGGCGCTGGGCCTGCTCCGCGGACTCCTCCATCAGAGTGTTCTGGTCCTCCGAGGAGTACAACTGTGCTAGGAGCTCCGAGTTTATAAAATCCTTCACCTGTCGGGTCACCACAAAAAAAAGTAAGATGGGAATGAGTGAGTGGCCGGACAGTAGAAACTGGGCCGGAGCCTGAGGACAGTCTGTAAACGTCCACTCTGGGGAAAGGGCTGCCGTGTGCATCTGTCCATTCCTATTTTCTTCACTTTCCTCTCGATCGTCCTCCCAGAGGCCATTGACATGAAAGGAAAACACGACACAGATCCGTTGAAAAGAGGGCCAAACTCTGGCATCAGCAGAGAGGACCTGGTCTCTCAGGCTGAGAGGGCCTGTGTCTGGACCAGCTTCCTCACCATGGTCTGAGGCTGCTTGGCTTAGGGACAAGGGTAAGCAGCGGCATCTTCCACAAGAAACAATGATGTAAAGAAATCGATGTCCTAACACACGTTATCCATTCCTTAATATTCCCAGGCACTTGACCCAGCTTTTACCAAAATCACCGGAACACTCTGAAGACCCTAGGTTTCAATGTGCTCCTGAAAGTGGAATTACCATCAGTAAGTCAATATTTGTTAAATAAGCACCTTTTTATATTTATGAAAGTTAATGTGCAAAAAAAAGTGATATGCTCTCTGCTTCCTAGAAGTTAACCATAGAAGCTACTTATCAGTGATGAGGACTGGTACAAGGTTCCGGATACAAGGTTAAGAGATAGATGTGAACAGAGTAAAATATGGACACTACGTAAAGCATGGCCCTGAGGTACAGAGAACCGACCACATCTTATCAAATCCAAGATACCACTGTTTTTAAGACACACCACTAACAACCCGTGTTATTAAGAAAGAGAAAAATCACCACCAATTAAAACTGTGATAGAATGGCCCTAGCTGGTTTGGTTCTGTGGATAGAGCATCGGCCTGCAGACTGAATGGTCCTGGGTTCGATTCTGGTCAAGGGCACATGTCTGGGTTGCAGGGTCGGTCCCCAATGAGGGGCATGCGGGAGGCAGCCGATCAATAATTCTCTCTCATTGTTGATGTTTCTATTTCTCTCCTCTTTTCCTCTCTGAAATCAATAAAAATATATGGGGGGGGGAAACTATGACAGAATGCCAGATGCCACTGAATGTCACAGGTGTCTTCATGTCAGAAATATTAATTGTGGAAAAAGTGAAGGTGAGAATTGATGACATATAGGTGCCTTTGCAAATTACCTGACTTGGTTCTCACCTCATACTTAGGAAATGTATTATTATCCCAATTTTGGAAATTGAAGAAACTGACGTTTGGAGAACTTTAAGTGACTTTCCCAAAGCCACACATTAAGTCGAACCCCAAATCTGCTGTCTTTACGTCTAGTGCTCTTTCCACGACCCCCTACACTTTGGGTGCTCAGAAAGGACCATAGATGAGTAAGCATCATTATTTTATAGTGGTGCAGCATTATGCTAATTAACATAAGCCTAGAAAAATAAACACACTTGGATTGTTGGATTTCTCCATAAATGAGAATACTAACACTTATCTGGAGTCACTAAATTTCTCAAGGAAAGGCCAAAGGCCAGTGACTGTTGTTACAAATCAGAAAACTGGTCAGATACTCAGAATTCCTGGGTTGTAGTTATAGCATCTAATCACACAATAATTCAACTAATTGGAAAATTCCATGAAAACACAGCTTCCCTGGGAAATAAAGAAATGTTCTCTGTACATGATTTGTCGACCAAGAGTGGTTCGAATGTGGACAAGATGCACTCAGACAAGAGCCTGGGAGAGCAGGTTTGTGTGTGTGAGCCGGGGAAGGTAAATCTGGCCAGGTAACCCGGGGCCAGATGCAAAAGCCTCTGATGCCAAGAAAAACTGTTTGAACTTTATCCACTTGGCAAATGGGGAGCTGTGGAAGGCTCTTCTGTAAGTCAGTGAAACAATAAAAGAGAGCTTTAGGAAAATTAACCTGGCAGTGATGGGAGAAGAATTTGCAAATGGAGATAAATGTAGATCGTCTGTGAGATGACAAGGGTTGAGTTTAGCAGGGTTGCAGTGGAATAGAAAAGATAGGCGTGTACAAATGACAGTGTGTAAAGGCAAAACCTACTGGACTAGTTTGGATGTAAAGGACAAGGAAGAACGGAACCAAGACAGCTCCAGCTTTGAGGGTTGGGTGAGAAGGAGGAAGAGAAAAACCAGAAGTCAAGAAGGAAAAGTCAGATTTAGAGGAAAGACGGTCAACTGGGCTGAGAGATTTTTTTTCACGTGTAACCGAGGAATCAGGACATTTACACAAATCTTCCACTGTTGGGTGTATGTGCACTTGAAGGGAGGGTGCAATTCCAAATTCAAAACCAGACGATTTTCCTGGCATTGGCCACCGGTCGGTTAAGCTCTTTGGAAGCTTTACATCTTCCTGGAGTATCACTTAGAATCTATTAAACACAATTTAAAAGACAGTCCTTCCAAGAACAGATTTAAAGCAGATCTGAATGAAGAAGCAACTGTCAAACAAACCACAAAATAAAATAGTCAGGGCCTGTCTCAGCATTCTGATCAAAGATCTGCCTTGCATCAATTCTTCCACATCAAAATGTTGCACACGGAGACTTGCCGACTCCTTGAAAGATGGGGCAGTGTTCTGGAATAATTTGAGAATTACGAGCATGAGAGAAAAGGGTAACTAACACGTGCAGTGGTTAGAGACCATGTGCTTTGGAGTCAGATGGCTCTGAAGTTGAGTCTAACACTCACTGTTTTTGGGCAAAAAACCTCTGTGAGACTCAGGTTCCCTTCCTGAGGACAATGGTGGTAGCTGCCTAAAGAGCTGTGTGCAAGGATTCAGGGAAAGCATCAAAATACCAAATGCCCAGCATGATGCCCAGCATGTAGCCAGTGCTCCGCATACAGAAGCTACTCTTTCTACAGAAGCCAGCTAAGCTGGCACGAGCAGGCAGAGGCAGGAGAACAAGAGTACAGGTTGACCTTTTACTTTGCACTTAGGCAAAATTTTAGAAAAACTCCTCTCTTTCTCTGCTGCTAGTTGGTAGGGACGGGATTGGGAGGGAGTACTTAGGGGAGTTTCCAGACACTTCGGGGACTTTCTGAGCGGTCTGAATGACAACGGGACAAACACTGAAACCAAGGGCTCTGCAGGGCAATTAGAGACCAAGGTCCGTTTTAGAGAAATGGCACGTAGAAAATATCCTCACAGAACGTGACGAACACAAATTCTGCTTGGATGTGAGATGCAGAATAAGATTTATGCTTTTAATTATAACACCTTAGAACCTATACGTCTTTGTATGGCTCACAAAAGAATTCTCTCACACAAAACCTCATTCCAGTTCAAACTCCACAGGCTAAAAAAACAGGCACTACTGGTGCAAAGGAATGTAAGGTCATTAGCGATGTTCCATATGGTTCCTCTCTCTTGCTTTAACCCTTCTCTGGCAACCCGCAATATTTTTTGGATCTTAACCCTTCTTTGTCTTTAGCTCTGAGGTTGTTTTAAAGCCTCCACACATAGAAGAGACATTTCTAGAGTTTTCATCCAATGTAGTTACGAAGGAGACCGTTTCCTTAAAATCTGTTTCTAGAAGGAAGGCCACAGTGTGGAGCATGGTGGGGGCTCTAGTTCACACAAAGACACATGAAAACTGACCAACAGTCTGAGGATGCATAGTCTGCAGAGGAACTTGGTTCACATTTTGTGAATCTTTGAGGTCTCACAATTCTCTCATTTCTCCGTCTGCCAGGGATTTAGTTTGGCTAAAGACCAACAATGTTTTCCTTGTTTAAAAAGTCACATCCTTTGACTCACAAACACCATGTTGTGCTAAAAAAAAACACACAAAAAAAACTAGACACTCAATGGCTGTAAGGTTCTGTACTATGAGATCCTGAAGTTTGAGAACAGACAGAACTGTAAGATGCCAACAGCATCACCCCTGGCGAGGAGTGATGGGGGTCAGGGAGCAGGGGTGGAAGGCCCTCAGGGCCTGGCAGAGATCTCTTTCTGCAGAAGGATGCTGAATTAATTCTTGACCTGTGGAAGCAAATCCGTGTTCAGGTATTTAAGATGCACTCTCCTCTCACATAATGAACATCTAAAATAACACTGCTCCATGGGCATTGAAGTGATGGTCTGTTTTGAGACGAGGGCATGGGTTACTCATTTTCCACCTTAGTGCCAGTGGCCCAGGAGAGGGGCTGTAGCCTTCAGGGTCCAGGAGTACAGGATGCAGTCCACGGCCCATGGGTGAAAGGCCTCTAGATCCCATATTTGGTTCTTCAAAAGTTTCATAAAACCTTCACCTTCTACTTTGCATTATCTGGTCTGGTTGAAATCTGAGAAATAATGTTTTAAATTATTTAGATTTAAAATATTGTTTCTCAGATTTCAACAAACCCTAATTAAATCTTCATGGCATATAGACCTCTGGGAAGAGACCCCGGGCATGTAAGCCATGGGGATAGGAGCCCCTTTCTTTGAAGAGGCTGACTTATGGTTTTCCTAACCTTGCCATATGCATTTTCTGTTATTGACCTGCAGAGAAGATCCGACTGAATGAGAAGACCTGGGTTTTCATCTTGATTCGGCCAACTCCAGCTGCGCGGACTGGAATAAGCCAACCTCTCAAAGCCTCAATTTCACTGTTTGTTATCCGGGCAGAATGGGAGTGGGTGTTTTGTGGGTTCAGTCCCAGCATCGTGTGCCCCTTTGCCACACACATTTGTAGAACAAAGCTGGGCCCACGTCCGTCATTCTCTGGCGGAAAACATCTGGTGGGGGAGCCACAGAGAGGAGGCCGCCAAACGCACTGGCCACGGGGTGCCACGTGTGCGTGAACTTCCAGTTCCTGAACCAAACTCTGCTTTTTGACTGCAGCCCATCCAGAGCGACCGCCCGCCCGCCCGTCATAAATGTGCTATTTCTTTGTGTCGCTGTTACCTGGTATGTTTAAGCAATGAAACAGCTGCTACGTTTCAATAGACAAAGGCTTACAGTATGTCTGAGGCGAGGCATTTATTGCTGGCTTTAAACTCCTTAAACAATTCCATATGGAGGCTTGAGTGGCAGAGCACTTAATGTAAACTTTCAAAGGAAGCTGCCCACCAAACGCCGAGCCTTAGGAAATTTGGCTGAAACGCGTTCTTTCTCAGGAGGCGGCGTGGCCGTGCCCCTGTCGGAGGCCACCGCTGGTTTTGCAGGACGTTTAGCCGCCCAAAGCCACCCAGAGAAGCCGCAGGGCTGAGTGGATGGAATTGGGAATGAGGAGTCAGATAAAGTTCCTTTTCTAGTTGTGATTCTCTGGTTAATTCTCTCGCGTGAAGCTCTCTTCACTTCAAGTCAAATGAAAAACCAACACACGGGTGGCATGTGCTGGGGACTCCCCATGTCTCTGCTCCTGGTGCTCGGCAGGGCACTCTGGAGTGAGCACAAAGGGCTGAGACGCTGGCACAATACAATGCCGTGGGGGTCTGAGTCCATGTAGGAGAGGGTGTTTACATGTTTTACATATATCAAATTATCTGTGTGATTTAAAAAAATGTATAAAACTATGCCGAAACCCGGTTTGGCTCAGTGGTAGAGCGTCGGTCTGCGACTGAAAGGTCCCAGGTTTGATTCCGGTCAAGGGCAGGTACATGGGTTGTGGCCACGTCCCCGATAGGGGGTGTGCAAGAGGCAGCTGGTCAATGTTTCTCTCTCATCGACGTTTCTAGCTCTCTCTCTCTCTCTCTCTCCCTTCTTCCTCTCTGTAAAATATCAATAAAATATATTTTTTAAAAATGTATAAAACTATACTTATTTTTACATATGTAGTAAGGAAGCGGGTAAAATGATACTTAAAGAAAAGCAGGTGTCCTAGCTATGAAAAACTTTCTTCAGACCGGTATGAAATGTTGAATTTCAAACAACGGGAACCATAATTTCCTAAGAATCCAGCATTCTGTGATCTTTGGACTTTTTTCATGTTCCTGGGAGCCTCTGCTTCGACATCGGACCTGGTGTCTTGATGGAAGTGGACAACCACTGACACGTAGGTGAGGTCCCTCTCAGACAGGGAGCAGAGCTCTCCCTCATGGCTGCTGCCCCAGTTGGGGGGGGAGAGGGGTGTGCAGCCATTTCACTAGGGAAGCCAGGTCATCAGGGAGGAGCCAGCCAGGGCAATTACCCACATTTCTTTGTGTAGGTGCATGTGTGTTTTTCTTGAGGAGGTGAAAGTGGCATAGATTTGCAATAGGGTCTTTTTTTTTTTTCTTCCCTTTTAACTAATTTGTGTCCAGCTACTTCTTGTAGCTCTAGACAGGAAGCGCTATTTCCTGTGCCGATGATTGAATACAGTGCAGAGCAAAGCGGCGTTTGAACCGACGGCAGCCCTAATGACTCTCGGCAAAACAGTGAAAAGATAAATGATACTCAATCAGGGAAATGTTTAAATAAGCAAGGGCCTGGCTATACTATGGCAGAACAACCTGAACTCGCTCAAGCAAAGTTAAGAGGGCAATTTTAAAAATACACAGACTATTTGTTTAGTACTTTATATTTTTCAAAATGGCATATGGTCACATTCATTATGTTCTTTGACATGATGCCATGAGGCAGCTTGGTGTTCTTACTGTGGGTTTAGAAGCGACTTCAACTCAGACGGGCAGAACAATTTGCATCCGGTCACACAGCGGGCCGCTGAACAAGCTTAAGAACACAATTTCAGAGTTTCCAAGTTTTCCATATGCTGCTTACCCACCCCCGATACTTCAAAGCATCCCACTAACCTTGTTTGAACACGAGAAATATGTGTGAAGATAGAGTTAAAAACAAGAGTGTTCACATGAGTGCTTGGGGCTTCTGACAGTCGAGGAACATATGCATGAAAAACACATGAAGTGTCATATTTAGAAAAATGATTTTGAGAGGAGTCTTGAAATATGAATAAAGGCTATTAAAGGTCTTCAGTAGGCACCTATATTAGCTTCTTATAATTAAACTAGAGGCCTGGTGCATGAAAATTCATGCACTGGAAGGGGGGGGGGGTCCCTCAGCCCGGCCTGTCCCTTCTCACAGTCCAGGAGTCCTCAAGGGCGGGAGGCAACCTGGTGATCAGGGGAAGGAGATGCCCCCATCACACCTCTGCTGCTGCAACTTGTCAACAGTGCAAGCCTCGGCTGGCCCTGGTTACCTGAGCCTCAGGCGGCCCTGGGCAGGCTAGGCAGCTGATATCTGAGGCCTGCCTATGCCTCCAGCCGGCCCTCGGCGGCTGGGGGGGCTGAGAGGACTGGGGGACTCCAGAGGCAGGCACGTGGAGCAGCCAGATGTGCCTGCCGCCCTGGCGGGGCTGAGGGGACTTGGTGTCACCATCTTGTGGCTGTGGGTGCCACCATCTTTGTGAGGGTGTGATGATCATTAGCATTTTCCCTCTTTATTAGATAGGATTTTTTTTTTATATAGTACTTCCATATATATTATCTAATGGAATAAGTCCCTAAACCAGGTACATTTTATGAGCAGTGTTTTACATATGGAGGAAACACCACAGAAGTTCAGTGAGGTGTCTTAGGCCAACAGAGTCTTCAGCAGAACCAGGCTTAGGATCCAGGTCTCCCCTGGATTTTAGTGTGGGGCTCTTTTCAGTACTTTTCCAACTAGTACTGAAAAGAGCAAATGCTCATAATCGATCATTGGTTTAAATAAAAAGGTGTCCTTAGAGGATAAGTAGGAATAAAATAGTTGGTGTCACACTTTTGAAGAGTCAGGAAATCCTGCTATAAAATACCCCTTATAGCTTATCTTACCTAACTTGAGATATTACTTCTACTTGAACAAAGCAGCTACCAAAACAAGCAACCCGGACCATGTATCATAGCATGACCACTATAAAGACAACCATGAAGAGGGAGAGTCTAAACAACATGGGTCACCTGATGGCCAGTGTAGCAGGAAACGCTGGGACCTATGGCTGTTATCACCCTTACCTTAGGCTGACTTTGTATCCAAGGGGATAGGACACAAAGCCCTTTACCAGGTGAAAATAGAATTCCATAGCAGGAGAAATCTGGATCCTAAACCTGGTTCTGCTTTAGGCTCTGTTGGCCTAAGACAAATTATTGAACTTCTTTGCATCTGTTTCCTTCATATGTAAAATACTAGTCATAAAAAAGTACCTGGCTTAGGTTCTTTTTAGCAGGTGATAATGATCACAGTAACGTATTATGTGTGTGTACGTGTGTGTCTGAGAAAAAAAGAATAAATATATTTTGCCTTTTATGTCAAAGTCAGGGCATCTGGTTTGACTGCTGGCTTTGACACTAATTTATATTCTAACCATAGCGATGCTCTGATTTCTTCAAGCAAATTCATAAGCCTTCTAGAGAAGACAGCCAATAGGGAACACCCCAGGACTATAGCTATAAGCTTCACATTTTCTTTCCTCAGTTCTCTTTCACTGGCAGGCCACTTACAACTTGTCATGGAAAATAATGAACCTGGCAGTAGGTGTTTAAACCATCCAGAAAATATCACAAGGAGACTCAAGAGAATGTGAGCCATGTCCATAGTAGGGAGGGTTTGAGGTTGAAGTGAGAGGGTTTATAATCACTTACGTTATTGATCATCAGGTGCATTATTGTCTTTGGAATGAGATCTCTGATACATTTGTTGATGATGGACATGTAGGAGTCCACCAGGTTGCGAATGGTCTCCACCTGCCTCTCCAGTTGGGGGTCCAGGGAAAAGTTTTCTGCTTGGCCGTTCTCATCATTTTCAGTCTGTCAGAAAGGAAGGGAGGCATGGATTATTTCACATTCGTTCAGAAGAAAGAAAAACACCAGGCATAACCAGACGATCAACTCCTGTTTACTGTACTTGTAGTTACATGATGAGCTGGTAACATCTTTATTGCACAACCACTAATTCTAAAAAGAGATCAGAACCAGGCAGTTATGAGTCCTCTTGCAGTCTGTCACAGTCTAGAAGAAGCAAGTATTCTAATTCTGAATGAATGCTGAGATGAACAACCGGATAAACAGCGCACCTAACAGCATTTCCCCAGAGAGCAATCCAACCATAAGCCATTTGCAAGCTGGCCCAAGAACGCAATCCAAACATGTGCAGATGTAAACTTCTGGGAGGGGTCTCCAGGGGTTCTGCAGATTAGATCTAACCTTGGTGTTTTCAGGAACTGACTCCCAGGTCTCTCTGAGATGGATCAACATTTGGATCAGCCCAGATTTAAAACTAAATCTCCTAGGCCTGGCCTGGCCCCAAAATAAGAGATATAGAGGATAATTCACTTTTCCATGCACTTGCTGGAATTTGTTATGTAAATTCATGCTTCTGTCATCACTACCAAAGGCTGGTTCCGCTGTGAAAAACGTACGATGTTAACTTCCAACTTGTTACTCTTTTGAGTAAAACTGGACACATCCATACTCAAAAGATTTTATTTGTGCAACAGGAGAGAGGCATCTGTTTTCTATACCGTGAGACTTGAGTTAATTAATTTTGGCTTCCCCACCAGAGGCTGGGCTGGAATGGCATCTTCATCATTAAACGCTGACCTATTGGCTTGGCATTGAAATCATTTTAGAACAAATGGTCTCCATTTCAAGTCAGGTTGAACCAGCTAAGCCCCAGAACATGATACAAATATTGTTAGTGGTCTGGCTGCTTTCTAGCATTTGGAAAGATTTAATTACAAATGCAAAAAAAGGGGGGGGGATAATTTATTGCTTCCAATGTGAACATGAAATACTTCTCCTTGGATATGTACATACTTTGATCTGCCAGGCTTTCAATCATCCAATCCATTCTAGGAAAAGAACTGTGCTCAATGGCTTAAATGGGTTTATAAATGACAAGTTTTCCCTTTGAATCAATATGCATATGTGAAGGCCACAAAATCAACAACAACTAAGATATACATTTGTTCTAATCATTTACACAGGCCTTCCTTGCTCAGAAATATCCAATACTTTTAAAAAATATTAAAATATTATGCGCTCACTCTAAAACACAGGCCATTCTCCAGTCTTGAGAGTATGACCCCATGCTTCAAGGACACTTCAAGGGCATTTCTGAGTCATCTTACAGCTAATGCAGCAAGATAGGGGATTGGAAGGTTGACAGTTGTTCCCCAATACTGTTTGTTTTTTTAAAATGGTCTTTGGCTATTGAAATAATTAAATCAAGTATTATGTAGTTTTTCACTTATTAATTTGTGATATAAGCATAATTGAATCTGGGACAAATAAGTGAAAAGTCCAGAAAATGGTAAAGTGACAAAGGAAAGGACAGCCACGGCAATGAGAAAAGCCACTCATGTCCCCAAATTTCTTTCCAGGGCAAAAAAACCACAACATATGCGCTCCAGGCTGAGCATAAATTCTAAAAATCAGTGGCCACTGCAGTGTGGTTCTGAGGGTTTTGAATTTGAAAGTAAAAGCTTGAGGTTCAAATTCAGGCCTCTATAACCTCCTGGTTGTGTGGCTCCATTTCAGCGACTAGTACTTAATGTCACTGAAACTCAGCTGCCCCGTCTTTAAAATAGGGATATGCTTCCCTAGCAAACTTTCGGAAGCTAAATGAGACAACGAATATGCTGTGACCTAGCCAAAGGCATTGTGGGAGCTCAATATATAAACGTTAGTTTCCCTCTTTCTTTTCTGAACAGTCATGGGCTAAGAGAGAGCTGTTTGACTCTCAGCACACTGTATGAAAATTTAAGGTGAAAAATGTGAGCATAAGACATTCTCAATTTAAGCAATATACAGATGGCAAACGATGTATGTTTTATGTAAGTTTTCTGTAAGCGAGGCCCTCGGGATCCCCTCCTCTCACCTGTGAAGACTTTTCATCTTTCAAAGCCCTGGACCACCACCACTCCTTCTATAGATAAGCTTCCAAAGGCCCTCAGACCCCCCATCACTCCCCACAATATACTTCATCCGTGTCTTTTGCTCACTTTTATTACTTAGTATCCAGCCTAGTTTCATGCTTCCCCCATTAGTCTCTGGGGTCTTTTTTATCTCCCTTTCTCAGCACAGAACCCGATGCACAGGAGAAGGAGGAGAAGCAGGAGTTAAAACCACCAAGGGATTTGCTTAAAAGAAGGAAGTCGTCCAGTGCATTTCAGGGTATCCAAGGGTGACTGCTTGTTAGAGAAGACTGGAGACCAGAGAAATTCCAAGTTGATGAGTTTGGATCAACTACTACTTGATCATAGTAAGAATGATAAAATGATTATGAAATTGTGAATATAAATGAGAACAAATGACCTGCAGCTTTGTGAGGAAAACACCTATAACATAAAGCAAATAAATGTTCATAATGGATACAATACCATGCATCTCTCCTCTGAAACATAATGGAATTCTGCTGTTGTATTTGGCAGTAGGGGGTGACGGCATTTCAGTATTAACATACCATACCTCTCAGAAACGTTATTTTGCTCTAAGGACTGTGCTGAACACTTTACAAAAAGACCCACAACCTCAGGAGGCAGTTACTACTTTGTCAACCTATAGAAGGACATATAGAGGCTCTGAGAGCTGATTTATTCAATAAAATTAAGATGAATGCAATGTTAACCCAAATTCTACTTTTCCTTATGTATAAAAAATTAAGAAGTATTATAAAATAGTGCAACATCCATAATATAACAAGTTGGTTTTGCAAATAAAATAATGCAAAATAAGTTCTAAAAGATGTCACTGAAGTACTGACATTTGCAATACATAAATGACTGAATGAAAAGTGAAATAAATAGTATTTATTTTAAGAACCTCTAGAAATATGAACACCAGGAAAATTATGTCATCACCGCATTTTCATAGTGGTACACTGGATTTCTCCATTTCACACTATTAGCATTCAGTCTTGCTTTATTTTTTTGCATACCAAAAATAAGCAAAAGACCCTCACTTTCACTTTTTAAAACTGGATGCAATTAAGCAAAGTGTCAGAGTAAATGGAGAAAACCCTGAATAGTGTAAATCTCAACACTTAAAAAAGAAAAGCATTCTAGAAAAACCAATGAAACCATTTGAAATTTTCTTAGGTTTTGGAAATACTAGCAGACATGCAGTCACATGCAAACCTTAAGTCTTCTGATAACAGCATGGGTATGGTGGGATTTGCAATTCAGAATGCAAATTTAATCTCTTTTCTGGTTTTTAGAAAGAAAGGAGGAGCAATTGCCCCTTCCAATATGCCTAAGATGAATTCAAAAAATGTACATAAATGCAATTTTTCTTTTAACTAAGTAATTGCAGACAGCAAAAGCTTGCTTTTCTCAAACCCCAGTCAGTTCTAACCAAATCCTCTCTCGTGTTCTTTTCTGCATGTACACTGTGTATGACTGTATTTTTTTTTCTTTGTTTAAATTACAGGATTGCAATAGAATTCTCTGCAGTCTAAGCACTGAAATAACAGATGTTTAGCATTATCCTCATCAAGGGAATGTAAAATAAAAATAGTAATTTGTCTCTGATCTTTGAGGCAAAAAAGAACAGTCTGCAAACATTTAACCTTTTATGAGCAGGTTCATTGAAGCTGTTTACAAAATGTGAATAATATTGTGAAAATCATCTTTCTTCTGAAAAATACAATGGGTAGGCCTTCTTATTGCATTCCCCCCCCCCCCCAATAGCTTTTGAGAAACCTAATGCAATTTAAACAATAGGACAATAACAACAGCCCTATAAATAAATGTGAAACTGCTTATAAAAATGGATATCTCTAACTTTCCTACAAAACTATTTGCACAGCCATTCAAAAGCAAGCTGGTTTACAAAATTTAAGTTTATACGCTTTCTCCTAAAGTCTTAATATGTTAAGAGGTGAGAGAATGAAGTAGTCAAATTAGTAATACTTTCCAGCAAACCTCACAGCATCCATCGCAGCAGCTTGACCAGGAGGTATATTTCTCATGTGGCTTGCTTTGGTCATTTTCCTTAAATCTCTTAGTTCATTATGTCATAGGCATCTTTGAGGATCACTGAAACCAGTCAATAAGGCCAATGAATGCAACTCTTTAAAGGTGGAATAATGGAAATCTGAAGTATCCTGGCACCAATATGCACATAAACCTACTGCAGAGCTGATGGGGGTTTGTGGCATATCTCCTCACCAATGGGCAGCATTGGCGGATCATCTACAAATTGATTTTCACAGCTAGCCAACACTTGCCCCCTTTTAAGCTCTCATTATCGTTATGCCATTTTTCACTGCCTTAAAGAGTAAACACATCATTTAAATTTTTTTTTTTTTTGGTGTGGTGAATCAGGCCATTGTTATGAAAATACTGTTGCCATGGTAAATGTAAGCCTCAACACTTGAAAAAGATGCCACCTTCCAGAATAACCCAATGAAACCATTTGAGATTCTCTTTAGCTTTTGGAAATACTAGTAGATATGCGGTCATATGCAAATCTTAAGTCTTCTGATGACAGCATGGATATGATGGGGAGTCACAGAATTCATAACGCAAATTTAAACTTTCTTCTGATTTTTAGAAAGGAGTAATTGCCCCTTCTAATGTGTCTAAGATGAATGCGGAGAATGAACAGAGATGCAACGCAGCTTTGCATTTTCCAGCCTCACATGACAGACATTTCCCCCCTTCCCTCGAAAACCTTTCTTCACTCCCACCCCTGATGTCAGAGGCCAGAAAGGCAGGTGAGCAGACTTGGAAAAGAGCCACAGAAATCACCTAGAAGTGTTTCCGTGGAAGACTGTGACAGGTATTTCATTCAATAAAACAGGCAGT